TAAGAGAACGTGTCTGCTGTTAATGGAAATGGTGTTTCTGAGTGGCATGGAAGGAGTTTTCCAAACTCTGCTAGTATTTCAGTGCGTGATCTGGAGCAAAACAGGCTGCCTCTCTGCACCTCGATTGATTACTCTTGAATAAGGTGGACTCTTAATGCCTGTCCACAGGGGCGTTAAAAAATGTAAAAAGTATTTGTAAATTAAAATGCCTGAATGAAAGGCTCTGGTATGTGTAATCATAGAGTATCACATTAAGTAGGAAGGCAAATGTCAGGGGAGTTCCTGGCATTCCATGGAGCTGAGCTTGTCTCACTTAAATAGATTTAATAAGCTCTGCTAGAATTGAAGACAGGTTGCATTTAAGCACATTTATTTGAATTTACATAAGTATACATCAAAGAGAAAATAATGCAGGCTCTTGGTTACTTCAGTCTAGTTTTTGATAGTTACTACTTCATCCCTTCCAGCATACCATAAAGTTCCTTTCATGGTCTCAGAAGAGCATAAGGAATTGAGTAAAAGAAGCTGAGCTTGTTACTCTGTGTGACTGTCTAGGGGTTCAAGGTAGAGCTCTGTCTGTGTTTCATTGGTTTGGCAGTGTTCTGTCTGACTCTCCAGTACCCTTAGGAAGACAAATGACAATTCCTAACAGAACAGTGATACATGACTTGCCTTTCCCTTCAGGACTAAGCAGGGACCTGATGAAGGTAGAGGAAACTGCTGCTTAGGGAACAGGTGATCACTCAGTGGTCAGTGCAGGGCTAACCAACCCTCTTGCCCCTTGTAGCTACATTTTATGCTCTTGGTATGTGTGAGAGCAGAAGATGTGCTATGTACTCAAGGAGCTGGGAGTTACTAATAAGCAGGAGATGATGTGGGCTTCCTGGTGTTCCAAGGAAGCTGGGTGCCAGAATGACCCTGGAGCACAGGTATCTGTGTGAACACCATCCCCAAGAGCAGGAGGTTCAGCCCAGCAGCCCTACTCTGCTTGCTGAGTGCTGCATAGATGAGACTTGCATGTTGGCATTTCCTTCAGAAAAGGATGGGTCTCTTTCTCTCACTGGGAAATGTCAAGAGGCAAATAATTTAATCTCCCTGTACCTCAGTTTCCCAGCTAATAAAATGGGGTTGCTCATCCTGCTCCCCTCTACTTACACAAAGCTTTATCCCCCCTGACAGCAAGTGTTATGGTCCAAGAACCAACCCTTAACACAGCCAGCTTGTACATCTTGGGTGACCTGGTCTCATCCAGAAAGCCAAGAAGAGCCCTTGGCAATCGCAGTCGGAACTTAAAGGCCAGTCTGTGGGCAGAAACAAGAGCGTGTTTTGTTCATACACAGCCAGCTCTGCCAGCTGTTCCCACACTTTAGCAAGTGTTTCCTATTCAAACAGAGAAAATGGTCAATGGGAACTGAACCAGATACAGCCATTCCAGCTAATAGCAAAGAGTTACACCCACAGAGAAGTTGAAAAAGATGTTAGATGTCTCCAATGCAGTATTTACCAAATTGCCAGATGTTTGGGATCCCTTAAGTCATCTAACAGGCCTTTTCAAGGCGATGTTACTCTTGAGTATGATGGCTCTCCTGAAAAAGCATTAAAGTGAACTAATTTTAGCCTTGAATTATGAGATTTTTCTCTAACAGAAGGTGTCCCTGAGGACACGAGGGTAGATTTTTATTTCCAAAACGTTGCCCTTGTATATTTTTAACGGATCATCTGGATGAAGTTCTAATGGCTGGTTCAGACTGTCTGATTAATAGCAACAGCTGTTCACCTTTGTAGATGGGGAGATTCTTGGAGATACAAAACACATTTATGAACTTAATATTCCACACCAAGGGTCAGGTTTTCTTGCCTTGTTTTTGCACAGGTGTAAATCCAGATAGGCTCCTGTGAAGTCAATGAAATTGTTCTGTGAAAGGTGCAAAAATCAGAGCTGCAGGAAATGGCAGAGCTGTTATTTTTTTCTTCAGTAGACTGAATTTTAGAACCCACAGCAATTGGAGGTGATTAAGGTTGAGAAACATACCCAAGGAATGATATGGTGTTCCTGCTGAGTGATGGGGGAAAATGCTGATTTTTGCAGGATGTCTGGGGAGCCATTTCTTCCTACGGCCATAAAAGATGGCAATCAGCCCAAAATTAGGAAGTATAAAAATGAAAGAATAATGAGAGGAGATAAGTTAGGTGTCCTGTTGTAGCTCCTTAATATTTTTATTCCTATATTTCAAAAGGTAGGGTTCCTACTGCTGAAACTTCCTGCAAAAATTCTTTTCCTTTTCAGTGTTGAAGTCTGGAAAAATAATTGACCATTCTGGGTTTTTTTTAAAAAAAACCTACTTTAAGACAGTTGTATCAGTATATTTTTTTCATCTTCAGATCTTTTTATTATTTTATCTATATTTTGCCAAAAAAAGAGCTTCAGAATTCCCCATGACATTTTCTTGTTTTGGTTGAGCAGATACTCCTGGGTTTTGCTTTAAAATTTATAACTCTTTTACAAAAAGAAAAGAAGTTAAGTTCCTCCAGATCCTACACAACCTCCAACCCAAGCTTATCTTTGGGGACTTGCTTATGCTTTCTTAACACAAAATGTTGCTGGAGCATTGGTATCCAAATGAACAATCAAGGCCATATAACTTTATTATTACCAAATCTGCTGTATTTCACACATTCGCACTCTCTTCACTTCCAGCTACTCAATACATCTCTGTGTTTTCCATAAAATACTCTTAGAGCAGAGCTGTTGATGCTAGCTCTGATATAAAATGCTGCAATGATTAAGTGTCCTCCATACTCCACTAAATGGAATAAATAACATTATTAATTCAGTATGCAACTGTCTGGCTTACTACACTGAGCTTAATATTTAATACAATGTAATGGACCCGATTTCCAGCTACTGGATGCCTTCCCTTAACTTGCCTCTTCAATCATCAGTATTTGCTTAAAATATTGTGTCCACCTGAAGTGCAGAGGGAAAATTCCCTGGCAAAACTGAGGCAGAAATTAGACATGAACAACTGTTTTGGGTTCCTGGGGGAGGCTCACAGGCTCCAGACCATGTCAGGAGTACAGGTGTGGGCCATGCTGACATCATGTCATAACTGTGGTAACTCAGCCTTGCTCCTGAGTGCATGTACAGTGTTGTTTCCCATTTGGATTATGGTGGCCATGTGGTCCTGGAAGAGAAACAAGGACACGAGGTGCCTGAGCTCCGTGGACATTAGTGTAGGTCCCAAAGGATCTGCAAGAGGTAATGCTGTTCCTTTGGATGGATATTTATCTGGCAGAGTTACAATGTGCAATCAAAGAACTGAGTTAAATCAAAGACCTGGGATTCTTCCCAAAGAAAAATCAATGGGAAAAATTCACCCTGGTATCTTTTAAACAGTCTGGATACAAAGCAAATTGTTTGGAGCTGGATACTGCCTGCCAAAACCTGCAGCTTTATTCATCTGAAATATTCCTGTATAGGAAAAGGCAATTCAGGACTGTTCTCTGCTTTGTCTGGTTTAGATCTCAAACTCCTGAGGGCAGGGGCTGCCTTGCAATGACTGACACTGGGGCCTTAATGCTGCTCCAGCACATCTAGTGCAGGGATAATGAAGTGAGCTCCTTGCAGTAATTTGCTCTTGTTCTGTAGGCCTGGGCAATAGGCAGTCATTTTGTTTAAGATCTCAGGGATTTGGCTCCCAGAATACCTGATGATGGAGTTTTATAGCCAATTTTACTGCTGGTGAGTTGCTGGTAGCAGAGAACTAATCTGAATGTGGAAAACACGGTTTGCATCACCTGGCAAATTTATGCTTGAACTTCTCATCCAATCCAGGGATAGAAACAGGATGATTTGTAGGATTTCCCTGGCCAGTCACAAGCATTTTATTGGAAAGGTTCAAAATTCCATCTAAAACCAGAGTGAAAGTTTTTTTAAAATGGCAGGGGGTTATTTTCAGAGTTGATCTGGATTTGCCCAGAACTAGTAATGCAAAGGCAAAAAACAGCTGGAAGTGTAACTGGGAAGAGAATAGAGAAAGCTTCTCAAGGGGATTTTTTTTTTTCTTGAAAACAGGAGAGGAATGAGATATTGTTGCTTCAAATATCTAATGAATAAAGGACGAAAGCATGAACCTGGGAGCTGGCAAGACACCCAGGTCAAGTATCTGCTGGCATTAATATGATCCAAACCACTGGGCCTATTACAAAAAGGATTGTGCCACTGGTTATCCTGGGACCTGTGAGGCTGTGATGTGAGAATTCTCATGCATCAAAACATGACTGACCTGATTTTCTCTGCTGGACACCCATGTCTTTACTCTCAATGCCAATTTGTTCTTAACAGGGTTCCACTGGAGTTTTTCTCTTTGATAAGGGTATTTTAAATGTCTTAGGTAAGGTTGTGGATGCAGAAAAAGCAAATTTGAGATGTGTAGTTCTTTCATATCACCTTATATTTGTCACAGAAGATGCCAGAGTTAGTAGGTTGGTACCAGGAATTTGATCAAACCTGAACTCTTAGAAAAATCTGTAACTTCAGTAGGATTCCTTATGGAGGATATGGAGGATCTCTGATTATAATACTCAGGCTACTTCAGATCAGCCCTTGGTTGTAATTCAGATATGCAGAGAAGTTGCAAGGAAAATGGAAGTGCCACTTCCTTGAAAGGCCTTTTCCTTTTCTTCCTCAGGATTTCTAAACATGCAACATCTTGCCCTGGGCTTACTAAGTATTAAGTTACACAAATGTTTGCACTGGAGGTGTTAGGAGATAGTGGTGGCTTTTTTTTTTTTTGACTGTCATAACAAAGTGCATGTTCACAGCCACATCCTCTCCATAAAGGGCAATAGCCCTTGGAAAACTGTTATGTTTCTAGTTGTGCCAGAGACTCTGTTTTCTGCTGCTGTGTCATAATGTATCTTAACGGTGTCATTCCATCAGAAACAGCTTTATATTGCTGGTCTCTAAAACTCCAAGAAAACCCACTCTGCAGCCAGCACTAAGGGGTACAGAATTCCATCAGGATTTCAATCCAGGCCATTGCTGGGAAGCATGAGCATGATGTATGGTTTGTTCCTTGTATCAGCCATATTGAAAAAATAGCATCCACTCTTCTCGTGTGCCCCCTACACTGCTGTCTGCATTTATAGCCCCAAAATGCAGCCAAGGGCCAAAATTGTTCCAGAAGTACAATGTGTTCGTGCATTACTTTGGATGAGAGATGGTAGAGTGGTGCCACTATTTTCCCAAGTATTGAGAGCTTTCCAGCAAGCCCTGTCTGGTCGCTGTGGCGAGGTCAAAGCATTGGCAAAGACAACCTCGAAGATGTCTTGCACCATTTCTCAATGTCTGTGGTTGCTTGGTTGTCTTCAAAGTGTCAGCACTTCCTGCAGAATGGAAACAACAAGGTTTTGTCTAGGAAACATCCAAATGCCTTTTCATTTTGGCCTCTGTGAAACTTTTTGAAGTCTTCCAGACGAAAAACAGAAAATTCCCCTGGCTTGAATATGTGTATTTGTTGGTACTTTACAACTGCTGAGGGCTAAAAAGTACAAGAAAGTCCTGGGATCTGTTCTAGGAGGGTGCAATTGTAGATGAAGATGCAGCATTGAGCCCTCCACTAGTGCTCTCCAAGAGAAGCTTGATGGCAAATTTGTCTTCCCAGCCACAAATGAGAAAATGCACTGCTTCATATTTCCTGTACTTTATAGTAAGTTTACTGTAGTTGGTCAGGTTAATTCATCTTGGCCCTGGCTTTTTAGAATGCTCCCTGGTATATATTCTCGTCAAAGGAAAAACCACCTGTTTTTCCAATCTGCTGCTATATCTACATTTAACAGAGGGGAATACTGAATCAAGTCCTGCTCCTGCTCTGAACTGCTCCCTGTATTGCCATGACAGTTTTTCCATGTGCCAGTCAGTCTTTTATAGGTGCAGAAACTACAAGAAAGTCCCTGGAGAGGCAATTTGATGAGAGCTCTTGTACCATTAGGGCTGCATTATAGGGCATTTTTACACTGCTTTTGTCAGCAGTCAGTAATCTCCATGGAAGGCTGAGCAAGGGGAAATCCCAGGCCAGCTGGGCTGAAGGGGCTTTTTGTACCTGCGAGGCCAAATCGGAGGGAAGCACTGGATGAACTGGAACTGAGGTTTTGCCTTAAAGACTTTCTCACATAATAAAAGCTTTCAGGTCTGCTTGGAGGGCAGGACACTGCACCACCAGATTTGCTCCAAGTAAATTCTGGCTTGGTCCTTTTGAAAGGCAGCAACAGTGAGTTACTTTGGGTGTCTCTTGGAGCATCTTTAGGACACATAGGGCTCTTTATCTCCATGCAAGCAACTTTTTTGAAGTTTCCTGCTTGACAACTGCATGTGACAAGGCAATTACATTGTTCTGTGGCACTAGTGGGTTCTTAGGCCTTTTTATGAGCCACAGGAATGAAAAGTTCTGTGCCACACAGGCACACAACTGGAGTCCAGTTGGTTGTGTCAGCAACCTATCTCAAATAACAGCAAGAACAGATGACATTCCAGTGGAAACTTCTTTACAAGGAAATACTTCAGATTCCAGATGTTCGGGATTTTTCTGCATATTTGTAGAGTTAAAGTGTTCCTTCAGGACTTGGTCAGCATAATTATCAGTACTGGATTCTTGCTTTTAAATGTATTTGAATAGTGAATGCTGTATAATTTGTGTGATAATTGGCTGTTCTCTACACTAGAGCCCAGAAATCCTTGCTAGTGGCAGGAGAAACTGAACTTGCCACAAGTCAATCTCCCAGTACACCAGTAGCAGTTTAAGTGATTTGTGTACTCTATTAACCAAGTGACAGAGCCAGTATTTCTCTTCCCCCACCCTCCATTTTAACCATAGCTTATAGCAGTGAAAAACTTCACTGTTTTGTCCCTGAGCTGGCTGGGAAAAAGGGTTTGTGTGTCTGCTTGCTTAATTGGGAAAAGGGATTTTATGTGGCTCCCTGCACTTGCTGCCCTTATTACACGAGTTATTCCTCTATAGATTTGAAAGCATCCTCTGAGCAGTGAGTCATAAGGCACAGCAGACTTCCCCGGAGAGTCAGATGCAGACAGCCTTATCCAGAGCATCAGCTGTGCCTTTCTTCTCTTTCCACAGACAAAGCAAAGGCCCAAGGGGGCATCCTGCTTCTCTGCAAGAAAGGAGCTTTGCCTTCTAAGATCAGCTACTTAAAGACATATCTGTTTTTCAATCCATTTGGATGAGAAGATCACATTTCTTTCTGTAGACCCTGCCCATTTCTGCCTTAAAAACATCACTGTTACTCCATTGCATGACCTAAAACTTCACTGTCCATTTCAGGAGATACTTCTCAGTCTCCTTTGCCTGTCTAAAGTACTGACACTCTCCTCCATGTGGTTACTTTGGCAGGTGCTGTGACTCTGGCCCAGTGGTCTTTCAAGTAGTGCACAGTGCAGTCTGAGGGGCTGGAGAAGTTTGAGCAGCATCAGAACTCAGATATCCTTTCAGTTGTTTTAGCACATTTGCCAGACATGGTTTCTCCCTGCACACAGGTCTGGAGCATCAGCAGAAACATGTCAATAAATCTCATTCCTTGCACAGCATTTCAAAAGTGTCCTTAATGCCATGGGAAATTGGCCCTGTGTGTGTGTCCAGAAGGAGATGGTTCAGGCTTGATCACACATTCAGCCCCTGGATCCACCCATTTGCACTGGCTTTGCACACACTGATGGGCTTGTTAAGCTGCCCAGTCCCCACTCCCCCAGCGCCCTTCTCTTGGGTTGGATGGACAGGAAGATCAGGAGAGACTGGTGCCTTTGAGGGGAAGAGCTGGAGTACAAAATGATCAGCCCACAACCCCAGCTGGCAGTACTGCATTCAGGAACACTTCCCTCTCCACAGGGGCTGGTCTGCTCTCTTTATCCACCCTCTGACATGATCCTATATCCAGGCACTTAAGAAGAAGAAAAAAGCAGCAAAACTGAAAGCTGCTATTTTTAAACTCTGCCCTTGGCTCTTTACAGCACTCTGCTTTCCTCCCTGTGATTCAGTGTTCTTTTGAAAACTAGGCACCAGGGCCCTGTGGTTTCCTGGTACTTGGAACATAAAATCTCCTAATTCTTCTCTCACAGCAAGCTTCAGAGGCCTGGGAGTGATTGATATTTTCTATCGCTTCATTAATAGTCACGGCGCAGTAGTTTCCTAATCTGTTTTTGCACTGCTTTTTATTTTGAATAATTTGTCTTTCGAATTTCCTCAGCCCTCCATGTCACACAAAGCAATTGCTGTTTGCTCCCCTCCTGCCTTTTAACTGCTGGGTTGAGACCTTCAGGAGCTGGTGAGGCAGAGCTGTCAGAGAGCTGGGAAGCTGGGGGTCCTGCCTCAAGGAGCTTTCTCATGTTTGTTTTAACAAGCTTGGCAAATATCCTGTGTATGTCTCAGTGATCAAAATGCTGGAGACTTCTTGGGAAAGGAGGACTTCACTGTAATTCCTAAGAGCTTCTGCTCACTTCCATCGCTGTACACATTGAAAAAGCTTGTGCCAAAATTCATTTTTCCAGCTTCATGGCCACCCTTGGTTCTCCTCTTCTCCAAATCAGACCTGCTCTGGAGTCCTCTGTGACAAGGACAACCCACCCCTCCCACAGAGGGCAACAGGATTAATCGACTTGGCAACCAACATTGACACTCTGTAGTGTCTGAACTGTTTCTCCATGCTCCTTACACACTTCCACCTTACGGAATCTGATCCAGGCAATTACAACTTTTAAACCTGGATATTGGACCTATTTCTGTGGGAAATGAGATGCTCAGGGCACAGGAACTAAGCAAATCCGTGGCAGAGAGATAGAGCCAGAGAAAACCTGGGGTATTTCCTGCTGGCCATGCCCTTCCCCACCACATCTTCAGGGCTAAAGCTATACTAGATAAAGGCAGAGAATGCAGTGGGACCCATTTGCCAAGAGGCTTGGGATCAGCACAGGAGATGGGGGAACCAGGATCAAGGGTCAGCTGTGGTGAGCCAGGCCCTCCTACCACACTGTTCAACCTCCATCTCCTCACTGCCTTTGAACACCTGGAACCTTTACCTGTAACTGGGCTGGCTTTCCCGGGGTGAACAACTCACTGTGCAGCTGGGACTCTCTGGCATGTCTGCAATAATCCTGAACTCTCTGTAAATTGCTTTTTCATTCAACCCAACTTGGAAAGAGGCAGACAGGCTGTAGTCTAAACACCCCAAGAGTCTGTATTTGCTTTGTTCCTTACATGTTCCAGCACACTCGGGTCTCCTGTGATTTAAAACAATGTGTCTTTGTTCTTATCTTCTGGACTTGGCAAGGCAGTTTTTACCTCTGAGTTTTTGTCTCAACAGGAGAAATTGCTGTCTAACAGATCCTTTGTGGACTTCCGACCAAAACCATCCAGAGCACCATATGGTAAGTCGTTCAACATTTTATAAACTCAGACCCTCAACTATAGCTATTTATGGGTGGAAACTGGCATATCAATAACTTCTTTTTGGTTACAGGGGTAATGAATTCTGGCTTATGTTATTATGACATCTCAGTTTAGGTTTCTCCAGCCCTTCCTTAGATTATAATGCATTTGACTTTACATTTGTTGCTTCTGGTGCCTGCCATAGCTTAGCACTGTGGTGTGTGTGTGTCAGTAAAGGAAGAATCTCAGCCATGCTCCCCTTGCTCCAAGAAACACAGGCCCTTATTCCTTATGTTGAAGGGGAAGGTTTGTGCCCTGATGTGACACGTGGCTTTCGATGATCCTGGTACTGCACTGATGTATCCATTCTTAGTCATGCCATCCTCTGAAGCAAAAAAGGTGTGGCACAGTCAATAAATGAGTATGATTTGTGGGGTGGCTTGAAGTTCTCTTGATTAGCCATCAGCATTTGAGTGATGCTGTGCAGCTTTCAGCCTGTGATGTTGCTCTGTGCTCAGTAGCTATACCACCACTTAGGGCACTTCTGTGCCCTAATTCCAGCACAGATTTAGGAGGTAAAAGCTTTTCATAGTTGTTTGGATCATATGAATTTCCTCTGTGTATCTTCTTCTGGTATCTCAAAAATGGTTGTTATCCATTGCAGGGGTCACCTGGAAACTGGGTTGACTCTGTGCAAGATGAAATGGTACCTGTGATGGGAACACTGACTCACCTTCTTCCCTGAGGAGGTGCTTCCAGGCCTCTTTAGGGAGAGAGCTTCTGTGTTTGCACTCCCATTGACAAAGGAGGTCCCCAGCACCTCCTGCTAGCACTGAAAGCACCGTGCATGTTATGAAAATGGTTTTTATTACTCTCAGACACAAGCTCTTGGTTTTCCTTTGTGGTTAATGTGGCCCATCTGTAGTTTAAAAAAGCAGTGTTCAACTTTCTTGCTTTTGGTATTTTGCGTAGTGCTGTGCTCGGGTGATCACTGTTAAATGCGTTGCCCTCGTTTTGCACCTGATTTTTCCAAAGTCTGGAGCTCTGGAGTTTTTTAGTTGTTCTGGGATGTGCCTACATTGTCACGGATCTTGATTTAGGGTGCGGGGAAAAGGAGTGACTATAAGAAGTTCAAGGGGGATGAGTTAGAGGGAGCAGAACAGTCTGAAACAGCAGCACTCTGGCTTGGAGCTCTCCTGACTTACAGGGCCACCTGCTCCAAGGAGTCACAAGGAGCTCTGGACCAGGTGAAGTGAGGAGGGCTCCCTTCCAGGGAGGCCTGATATGTTATGCTGCACTAAAATGCATCCAAATGTCAGCCCAACAGCCATCTCTCCAAATTCTTCCTTGCCATGGCCAAGAACGTATCTAGAGGGAGATGTTCAAAGGTAGCTGTTCTGCCTGATAGTTTTCCATGTTCTAACACAGCCTTTTGCAGGAATATCTCTAAGAAATGGATTTCTTTCCACCCCAAGCTTTCTTATACAGTGAGGAACTGGAGGGAACTAATATAGTTCCTTACATCACCATTACACCTTGCAGTGGGCTGGAGAACTCAGAGCAAGCCCAGCAGCCCAGAGAAGGAGAGCAAGGACAAAAGCAAGAAAGAGAGACCCTTGCTCCTAGTCCAGCTTTCCAACTTTGTTTCCAGTATAGCATTCTGGGTGCTTTTTTCTGCAAAAGTCACATGTTTTAAAATGTGCAGCATAAACCCAAGAATTATCAATTTCAATAAGTCTACCAGTAAAAAAAAACTCTGCCCCCTCCTTTTTCTTTTTTCTTTTTTTTAAAGGGTCAGAATATGCCAGGACAGCATTTAGCCTTATATATTCACACTGTAACATCAAACATGAGCTGCCTCTTAAAAGCAGAGTGTGGAATTATCAGAGACAAAACAAGACTCGGACATTGGCAAGGAAGCACTCTCCACTCTCCGTGCCTGACTGAGCTAACGTTTCCTAATTGCAACCAGAGAACTGTGCAAGAGTTTAAAAACTTTACCTTTTTTCCAAATCATGGGGATGTGCCCCTGTGAAAGCTATTTCCCTCATTGTTGGTTCTTCAGAATAATTACCAACTGGCAGCACTGAACATTTCTCTTCACTTCCTTCTTTTACTTTTCTTTCTTTCTTTTTGATGTGTGTCACATTTCAGCTCTGTAGCCATCCTGTCCTTGGGTTAACCACACAGAGGTCAGAACTCTGAAGTGCTCAGAGCTGGGCTGTGGAAAGGGGATTACCCATGTTGTTGTTAACCCATGACCTTCATGCTTTCTATTGGATTCAGTGTTTTGCACTTAGGACAAACCCCTCCCCTCTGACTTTCCCATTCCCCCATTCCTGCATTTCTGAGTTCTGCCTAGTAGCAGAATTAGAATGAGCAAAATACCACAGGAAAGATGATGCTGGAAGAGGTATTTATTAACTGTATTACCAGATGCAGAATGATAGGAAGCATATCCAGCCCAGACATATCTAACCAAATCTAACTGAAGGTCATGAATCTGCAGAAGTCCAGCAGAGCTTTTCTGGCTACATGCCCAACAGGCATGCTCTTGCTTGACCATATCCTATCTCAAATGTTGGTGTTGTCTTACTGAACTCAGCATTTTTTCTTCCATTTGCCTTTATTAAAATTCAACGAGGTGCTGAGAAGCCAAGAGCTTATGTTTTCAAAGAGGGTGGGGAGTTTTAAAAGTTTTTATTTGGGAAAGTGAAAAGGATGGGCAGCTTCTCTACCTTTTGATTTCAAAAGGTAGCAAAACGAACATGACAAGTTAAAGAATGTGTCACATCCCACTGCTGTGTGTAAATGCTTATCCTTAATGATGTGCTTTTAAGGATCTTGGATAAGAACCAAAAGGAGAGCTTTGAAAACTCACTCATACAGAATAATTGTATTTAGCCTACGCTGTCAGCTCACACCGTATCATCTTAAAGAATAATAAATAAGCAGTCAACATTCTTACAGTAACCTCTCACTACTCAGTACCAGGAGGTGAGGGGACATGTGCCTTCCCAGACATCAGGTGTGCCGTGGTGGTGCTGGGAGTGCTTAGTTTTGGTTTAAAACTTGACAGTAGCAGTGGGGGGATGAAGTTAAAATGCAATCATTCTGAGTCAAACAGTAATGCCTAGGAAAACAGATGTGGGATGTGTGCCATGAGCCAAGATCAACTTCACAAAACTCAAAAGATTACTTCTACAAAAACTGGAGGGGGGAGAATTATCCAGTGAATGTTGTGATGGATGGGAGCAAGGAAATAGCTCAGGAAAGTCAAACAACAGGATCTGCAGCACAAATATGTTAACTTTCTGGTGCTGTTACTTTGTCATAGGTAGGAAATTCTTTCTATAATGTCTGAAGGGTATTAATTACTGTTTTCCTCTGACATAAAATGGGGGGACAGAGACTTTTATTTCTCTTAACTGCTTCTGCACTATCTTCAGAGCAAACCTGCCCTGCTTTTTAAAATCCTGAGCGCATAGGGCTAATCTTCGTCTACCCTTTCCCTGGGAGTTTTTGTTGTTGTAGCAACTTCTTTATTTTTCTGTCAGGAAAACACAAATAAAAAGTTTAACTTTGGTCAATATTGGCTTTGGGCCAATCCCAAATATTGCAAACCAATTCAGCACTAGATTGTATTTACCAGTTTCGCTTCTGGCCTACCTTCTGCATCCAGGCTGCGTTTCTTACGGTGCTGCTCTGCATGATCTGTGTTACCATATTGGGCCACCTTATCAAAAATCAGGGCTAGTGAAGGAGCTAAGAGCTTTTTCCCCAAAGTGGCTAGTGGTTTTGAGGCATTTAAGCACACAGGCCAAATACTCACCATCTCCTTAAAATGGACCAGCTCAGTGCACCCATTTTGAGCCCCCTGATGACTGGTTTCATCTTGGTCAGCTGTGCCCTGCTAGAGAGGGACACCTGTTTCTATCCCCCGTGTCTCATCTGGTTCTTTCTGTACACCTATGGGGCACATGGAGACCTGGTTGAAAATACATGTGTCAGTTGTTTCCTGCATGTTGCATTGTATTTTGAAGACTTACCTCGTTGGCTGTGGATCAGCAGTGTCCCCATGCCACAGGTCTCTTCTTCTCAGCACAGAAAAGGTTGCCAGCTCCATCTCCTGCTCTGGCTTCTCTTTAAGTTCCCTCCTGTGCTCTGCAGAAGTGCATTAGCTTCAAGCCCTAGTTAGCCAGGTTGCCCATATCCCAGCAAGAACTTGTTCTTCTGACACTTTCCAGTTAGCATCAGTGTGTCTCTGGCTGTTACCAGAACCACCTCCCTCACTAGACATCTTCCTTGGATTAGCAGGTCTGTTGTTCTGAAAATTCCATGCCACAACACAACCCTGTTCCAGAAGACTCTTTCAACTGTTGCTAAACAGTATCCAGAAACATCACACAGTCCCTCACAGATGAAAATGCAAGTTCCCTGTAAAACTGAGCCAAGGCATCTTCAGCTTCTGCATTAGAAGCCCTTCTCTGTTTTGCATCCAGCCCATTGGTTGTCATCATTGACACTGAACAAAAGCCTCTGCTGCTGTTCATGGGGAGAAGCCCCCAGTCTAAGCACCACATTTTCCTGGAATCTATGTAGGACTTGAAGATATTAATCTGTTTATTTCCCTAACACATCCACTGAAAGCTTGGAGCAGTTTTTCAAGGTTTCCCACAAGCTAAACCAAGCCAAAGGTTCCTGGCTGACAATCATCAATAATATTGAGCTGCTACTTAAACTCTGCTGTCCTTAGATGAATTGACAGCTCTTCCCTTCCAGGGGGAAGATAACATCTTTGCTCTAAAAAGATGAGGTGCCTGTTGTCTGGTCTCCTCTGCCTCTTCTGAAACCTTTCAGAGAAGCAATGTGTTGATGTATTATCCTGAGTCATTAACAGAGCACATGCTTTGGAGCTGCCTTTTTTTTTTTTTTTCTTTTATCAACTGTATATTTTTCCTTCCAATCATCTGGATCTGGCATCCTCCCCTTTGGGCAC